TATTTTCTGAAGCTGTTATGATTTTAATAAGCTCATAATTATTACTACATTTTTAATTTGTTTGATATAAAGATACAGTAGTTGAGCAAATCTAACAACTGTGAATGAAATTGTCAGAAAATATTCCCTAATCATGAAAGTTTTACTAACTCAGCTTTATTCAAGATGCACCTTCATGGAACTGTAATGCACTCGTAGACACTGACATCACCACTTTTTTATCAATCAAGAACAAAATAGGGCTTTTTATGTCCGTGTGGCACTTGGAAAGCAGCAGCCAGCAGGGTTTCCATGTGATATATAGAGGATTCATACAGAGTTTGAGCAAATGTTCCTTAGAGTTCAGCATTGAAGGATGGTACCCACTCATAACCAGACCACTGATTATAAGTACCCAATTTGATTACCCAAAACTGCCCCTGTAAATTTCAACACAACAGTTCAGAAAGGTCAGGAAACCTTTGCCTTTACTTAATGTACTTGCCTTGTAGTTGTTTGAAAAATCTGAGCAAAGTATGTTTTGAGTCCATTTACTGACAATTTCCTGATGTCCAGATAGCAGATGAATCAACAAAAAGAGCCATCATGACACACATACCAAATGCTACTCAGCCAGCAACTCACACATATGCTGCTTATGCATCTTACAGTATCAGTAGGCCAGTCAGTTTGCCAAGCACATTTCGGTCTTTTAATACTGGGACCACTTGTGTGCATGCTGCATAAACTGCTGTATAAACCACTTTCAAACTAGCGTGATTACTACCACAGACCCATTTGTAGCCTGTGCGCAAGCAATCCAATTGCTGACCCCGTGGCTGCCATATGACTTCAGCAGGAAAGTCATGTGACCATATACAAAAAAAACAGCAAAAGGAAGCCCTGACTATGGGCTGTGTGTTGCACAAGACTCGCACTGTCTAAGCAACTTAGACTAAATGATGTGAAAGTTTTGCCACACGAAGGTGCAATGTTTAAGTGGTTGGAGTTGATTTATTGCTTATTTTTGAAAAAAAAAATAGGTAACAACATACAAAACCTCAGAAAAATGCTTATTCAAGAGCAAAACTATTCTTCATTAAAATCACTGTAAAGAAGGAAGATAACCATAAAAATGTTGCTTCCTTGGAGCGAGTTGATTTCTATTATAGAGATACATGTATGTGTAGGCCTAGTATGACTCCATCTCTTGGAACTTTCGTCAGCTCGGAAGTCCAATAACTTGATTTTTTAGCCATCCAACTGATGTTTGAGTTTGTGTATTATTTCACACTTACAAATAAAATACATGTACCTGAAACTGTATGGTATGTCACTGTATGTACTGCTTGCACCTGCCCAAGGTTTTCTTGTCCTGTAATTCATGCAGCATGCTTATCATTATATTCAGTTTTTTCTTGTTTCTGTTTTAGATTGAAGCACAGTGTGGGTTAATCTCAGCTATTTTAGGCACCAACTACACGTCACTCATCAAATCTGCTGTTAAGAAACTCAAGAATGTCTGGAAGCAGGTACTGAACAGAACTTGGTTTTAAACAGTGTAGTTTATTGCCAACTGCTCTTGAAACCTGTTTCATATGTGTTAAGGAAGAACCCATACATGGTTATCATGGTTATTGTAACTACAACACATAAGGAACCTGCAGCTCCTTGGATTCTGTGCCCATTTACACTTACATGTACATGTACCTTAACCACGAGTAGCTCACAAATGACTTTGTGTTTTGGTTCTTGTGAACAAATGTCCCAGGCCAATTGTATCGGATATATCCAGTTGTCATTTGGCATGGTGGGAGACATGCAAGACTAGGAAGGCAAATACTCAGCTGATTATTGGGCACATAATACGACAGGTTTATGCAAAGTTTTGTATTGTACTCCATTGACCTTCTGTTGGCATTGAAACATTGAATGTTTGTCGTCACATTTATATTATATTTCTAGCAACATCATCACTTCAGATGTCACAAACAAATATTGAACATGTGCATTTTCAGTCATTGCAGGGTAAATTTTAAAATGAAAAAGAACATTTATTTACATACTAAACAAACTGGTAGAGGTAGTTCCAAATCTTTGCATGATGCAAAAATACAATTTAACACTAATTTCACAAATCTGATATGAATCAACCTGCGTGGAATGAACTGATATGATGCAAGAGCATTAATTTGAGTTAGACCTTGTATAACTGTTTGTTTAGATTCCAGATGTAGTCAACAGCTATGCTGAGGCTTTATCCAAGCTTGATCATTCTTCACACAAAGTGTGTCTGATCAGCCTATTGACGCAACATTGCAATGAGTGTCAGCTTGGCAATGTACTGGGAGCTTACAGTACAGCTTTTTTAGATGCATACATCAAGGCAGTCTTTGGCGGCAAACACAAGCCTCCGGTTCATGTTCTGGTATGTACAAAGGAAACCTTTTTTTTTCAATATTTATCCTTCCAGAATGTTTCCTACTGTTTATTTATCAAAGGCCCTAAACTTGTTTGTGTTTTGGATTTTTAATGTCCCTGGATCAGCAGAACTCGGGATCTAAAACATCATGTTAAGCCCTTAACACAGGGATTCTTTTGAGTGCAAATGCTGGGCTGCAGTATGCCCAGTATGCAAAGCCCTGTCCAGCAGCAGGCCCACATTGAAACTGCAGGTGCATGTATGTGCGGTATGCACTAATCCTCACATGTTTGCCATCTACCGGTGTTAAGAGGTTAAAGGTAGGGTCATACTTTGGTAATCCACCCAGAAAAAGAAATTTTTATCCGAAAGCATAACTGGTATAAAGATGGTAATAGTAATAATCACCCTGTGAAATTATTTTGTCTGAAATGTCCCTGTATCAATAAAAGTATGTCAAAAAATTTGAATTGCATTGTAGTGGCCGTTGGAATGCTGCCCTCATGCAGTGAAAATCTGCCAGCCAACAGAGCCGATTTGCAATTAGGGCGTCCGATTCGCGCTGCATTCCCATTGACCTTGCATTATGCAGACACGCTGTGCTGTTTTGATGCAACATGCACAAGGTGGTGACATGCCATGATTATAGACACAGGTGGTGCGCAGTCCAAATCAACTTTGGAGTTGGACAAAATGGCTGCTATGCGAGAACCCCACTGAATTTGATCTGTAGAAAAAGTTTGGCAGACTCATACAAGTGAAAACCGGCTGCAAGAGTGGTTTCAAAATGTCAGTCCCACAACCCTAAGAAAACACCATGAAAAAAAATAAAACAAAGATGTCAAAGGCTAATAGAACCCCCCTCACACACACACACAAGTGTGTATTTGCCTGCCACTGGGGACCACCTGTTGTTCCTCTTTTGTTTGAACTTTAACTTTTTTAGAAGACCACCCACATGTTTTGTACACAGTTGTCAATCGGGGACCCTCTGTCAATCGGGGACCTTATTGTCCTCTATTGTTCAAGGTCCCCAATTGAATGCAGAAACAAACTCACACACACACACCAATGTTTTTATAAGCTGGATACGCCACAGGGGTCCATGCACTACCGTGGTGCAGATCCAACTTTGTATTAAAATAGACATCAGCAGAAGACCCAATGCAGTGTCATGTTACTGACAAAATGAATCTTCATTTGTTATTGACTCTGTTTATCGGGTATATAAGAAATAACATCAGTATAGTAGATTCCTGTTTTATTGCTCCTAAAGGGACCGAACTGAATTGAGCATTATAACTGCACAGTGTATAACTGACTGCACACACAACATGTGCGACGCACATGTGCCAATGTACATGTACAGATATCTACATACATATCATGTATGTGCAGTACATGTACATGTACCGGTAGTTACACTTGTGCATAAGTGTAGTACAGTTAAGCATGCATTAATCGGAACTTGGCCTTATTATTAATTTGTTTTGTTGCAGATGTGGGATACAAAGTCTAAAATTGCTACACTTTGTAAAACAAAATTACATGTACATGCAATACAGATACATGTATGTGAATTTCTGAGAGTCAAATAGCATGGTCAAGGAAATTACAAAGGAATATGTTAAGTTGGTTTTTAATACTGCGGCTATTTTCACAATATTAAAACAGCTATTATTTCCCAAGCTGCTAATACTCAGGCAACATATATTTCATCTTCCAATTGTGATTAAAAAAATTTCTCTAACTGTTATATGCAATTAACATCAGATGGAAATTTTCTTTGTTTATACTTGGATAAACATCAAGAATCAGGAACACTTATCAACCCTACCCACTCTTCTCTGCACAATGTCGCAAATAACATTGAGGAAAACCACATATACACACCTCGTTGTATGCCAGTTTGTGTCATGTTTGCTATCTCACCATGATAAACAATGTGCTCTCGACCGCACTTGGCGGAAGTGAGCTTTTAAAATAACTGTACAGCACTTGTGACGGAGGCTAGTAACTTGTCACTTTTAGTTACCCAAGTGTTGAGGTCTGGAAAATATCCACCACGACGAAAAGGAGGGAAAGGCCACCAAAAGTCCATGGAGGAGACAAGTTCTTCAAATTGAAATTGAAATTGAAATTCGCAATTGAAAACTGTAAAACTTAAACATACAAAAATGATAATTTAAAATGCATTCAATCATTGCATTCATGTACAAATGGTCTAAATAATAATGTCATAGTCTCAAAGCATGTCATGTTTTAAGGTGAAAAAGATGAAGCAATCAAAGACAATGCATGCATGTATATTTAGTTGGGAACGTACGGCAATTTGCAATGATAAACTAAAGCTGTGCATTCAACATCCGGGTCATCCCTATTGCATATGACATGTGCATACATTTTAGACTTGAAATCAAGCCACTAATGGCCAGGAGTTTTTCAAACCCCTTAGCAGACGCATACCGTTGTAAGGTTGTGTGCTTAGGGTATACTAGCGCAACCCACCTCTGCATGACATCAAGTCTGTGGACGGTATTTGGGCCTACATGCAGACAGGCGGGTGCGTGTCTGCAATTTTGTGATCACTTGTACTATTTACTGGTGTCCCAGAGGACAGCCAATCACGGCGCCCTCACAATGCAGTTTCGTCAATTTTCAAAGAACCTGACTTTCCAAGGTAAAGAGCGCTGTTACCAGAATCATGTCACATGCTTACTTTGGTTCCCGGGGCCTAACATAGCGAGCGTTATATCCCGAAAACGTTATAAAAAGTAGCACTATAACCACAAAAAAATTGTACACAGTGAGTGATTGTGCAGTTGAGGAAATGAAAAAAGAACTTGATATCAGCAAGAGCATTGCATCAGGGAGCATTATAGCAGGGAGTGCTATAGCAGGAATCTGGTGCATTTCATTTTATTATGGGACTCGGATTGACATCCTCATGAATGCAGACATTGTGCAAGTAAAACAACAGTTTTTACATGTTTTAATTTCTGTTATTGAAGTCTTGTGACTCATTGGGTTGAGTTATTTGTACATGTGTATTAATGTTTTGTCCCTGACTTAGGTGTTGGACATCTGTAAGATAGACTTGAATGGTTAAAATCAATGACCTAGGTAAGGTCATGGTTGCTATTATTGAATATTTGACATTTTCTGCCGGTAATGATCAGAGGAAAAAAAGGTTCAAGTTGAAGTACATGTAGTTGTTTCAAAATGTTCAGTTGATCAGCACACGTCAATGAAACAATGTAATCTTGTCAATTAACCAATGATTTGTAATGATTTTATTTTCATTTTTCTATGACAGCATGTAAGCAAGTGGTTGTTGTGTCAGGTAACCCATCAGCAATTCCAAGACGTAGTTTTACCTGCAGTGCAGAAGGCAACGCTGAGGAGCCCAGAGAAAGTACTCCAAGGTATCCTCCAAACTATGCCTAGACTAATCTCATGAGCACAGGTAGAAAACCAATACTGAAGCAGCCCCATGCTCACTCTCATTTTGAGGTGTTGGTGCACTTTGGCAATTTTGAGTCAGAGGACAATTATTTGAGCACAAGTCAAGCTTTTGTCATACGGCTGTTTGAACATACAGTTGGCTCTTTTTATTTCAATCGGGTAGGACAACATTTGGGTATAGTAAATACACATCTTTGGGTCCCTTGCAATAATGTGAACACTCGCATGGGGAGGAAATCTTTCACAACAAAGTCACACTTTACAATATTCTTGTTCAACAAAAGGTTTCTGTGATCCTGATGCACCCAAATCCTGGATCACAGCTCTTTTGTAATTAAAATTAGAATTAGTCATTAATAATTATTTCCAGAAGCAATTGTTTCATCTTGCTGATTCAGAATCTACTTATATGAAAATGTTAATTGTGCACAGTTGCTAATTGGCCACTGCAGTGCACTGTGGTTACCAGCTACAATCAGTCATCAAAATGCACTGCACCAGTGATGTACCAGTATGTACATGTCGCCATCCACACTATGTACACGTCACCAAAGGGAAATCATTTGAGAGTAACAATGATCAGTTTTATAATGGGCTTTTCCAACTTTACACTTCTGGAAAAATAAAGTCATTAACCCCAACGCTCCTCAAAAAAAAATACCACATCCCCTTCCCGATTCAGAGACATGGAGTCTAAAAAACCCAAAATAATCCCCAAACCAGGGCCCTATTCTGAACAAAACAAAATTAAGTTGGGTTCATCCACATCCAGTGGTCAACTATCAAGATCTTTGGTGTTTTTATATATTTGTGCATACATATACATTATATTTTTGTCAGATAACATTAGGTTTATTATTACAAAATTCACAATGTATTTGATAAACATTACCCCTGAAACCATATAAATGACTTTGGACATAGCCACACAATATGACCTATACAGGCAGTGAGCTACATGTAACAATAGAGTACCATTGCATTGCACTCCATTTGTAGCAAATTTTGGATGCAACAAACATTTTCACTGGGTCTAGGGAATGTCGTAGTAAGCAGAGTTGACTGTATGCTGAACATCCTGTCAGCCGTTCTGGATCCCCCACAAAATATAATAGTGCAGATGCAAGCAAAAACAAAAAAGTCCAACTTGGATACCGTGTTTTTCAGTAAAAGGGAGTATGGGAATGCAGTTACTTAAAAACTGACTAACACTGCAGCACTACTGTAGACTAACACTGCAGCACTACTGTAGACTAACACTGCAGCACTACTGTAGACTAACACTGCAGCACTACTGTAGACTAACACTGCAGCACTACTGTAGACTAACACTGCAGCACTACTGTAGACTAACACTGCAGCACTACTGTAGACTAACACTGCAGCACTACTGTAGTATCACCTCATGAAGGACTTCTAATTGTGAATGCTAGATTGGACTAAACTCTCTTTGGCATTTGGTTGGTATGCCCCCCCAAAAAAAATATGTGGAGTTCTGCGTCCAGTTTCCTGACAGACCCTAAATTTGTTAGAAAACTAATTTAATAAGTTTTTGAAATAAGTCCTCTTGTCTTTTCTGTCTTCACAAACACCTCTGAACAATGCTTTTTACATTAAAATGCTTGTATATATATATTTTCCTACTTACATTTGCAACTTTTGAAAAGAAACTTCTGTTTCTTTCATGAGTTTCCTGCCACGGTGGTGAAAACACGTGCACAGCAATCCTCAGTGCATTGAAACAATCTTGCATTAGTTCCTGCTGTGCCGTGCCCATGCAAAAGAAGGCGCGATGGAAATGCAGCAATCAGTTAAGCATCCCAATCAAAGTTGCATTGTCACACAACACCTTGCATACATGCAACTATGGCTGCATGTCAAAAAAATCAACATTGATGTTGCAAGAAGATTTCTGCAAGTTAATTCACAGAGCTTGTTCTCATCTATGTATGTATTTTCTGTGTTGATGAATTTTATTGAGGTTGTATTGCTCGTACTTGAAGTTTACACTGCAATATACAGACATTCTTGGCCAGTTTGCCATTGCGATTACCTGACTAGCTTTGTGCATAGGGGTGTGAATTGTCCATAGTTCTTAAAAATGTATATTTTTATGTTGATTAAGGCAAGTTTTTATCACTTTTCTGTGGCAGTTTTTGGTAGCTTTCATCCCCATTCATGTCATTCTGTCTGCTCAAAAAATTGAACCCCCTAAATAATTTCTGACCAACTTTATTTTTGAGAGGTCTGTAATCGGGAGCAGAACTGTTTTGTTTGCTTGTTTTGGCCTAATACTGAAGCTTTTGACTTTATCGCACAGTTTTCAAAATTTGCTCATCTGCCCCGGGGATACACAATTTTTCACATCAAATTTGTTTTGTGGAGTTTTAGAGATTAACATTGCAATATTCCCCCTGTATAAATTCATGATAAGAATTTGGATTTGGGGAGTGACTTAAGTGAATGATTCCAAGGTTGGTGTGTACACATTGACTGACAAGGTATTGAAGAAGGAATATGTATTTAGGAGATAATATTTTTTGTCCAATCTGTTTTCACATACAGCGGTTGGCTACCTATTCAGTGGAGTATCTTTAGACTTAAGTCAGTATGCTCAGGACCTAGGCAAGAACATCGCAAGTAAGTTGGCATTGTTAGGCTAAATTGTTCAACACATCATTTTTGTTGTTCTTGTAGGTTCAAACGTGAAAGAACTATTAAACAAAATGTTTTTCTGTGTATTATCAATTAAGTGAGTTGACAGAATCTTCTTTTGTCGTCAGGTCAATTCTATTTTGGCATACAAGTTATAACAGTTTTTTGCTTTGTGTGACTGTATCATTGTTTCTCAGAGCTTTAATCAACTTGAAGGAGACATTTCTAAAAATTTTTTATTTCAAGCCAAGTTAGACTTGCATTCTTTATGCATCCTTGAATGCATTGAACAGTTTCCCTGAATACCTGCAGCTAATCACTGATGTAAGTTTATGACATGAACAGAAATGGCAATAATTTGCCATAATTTGCTTCCAAGGTGATTGTATTGTTCAGCATCTGTGTATGGAAATGTGTTTGTTTTCTTCTCAGCCCATTTACGTGCAAAGGAGGATATGATGAGGGAAGAGGCAGCTCTTGGGGTCAAGCATCTTGCTATGCAGTGCAGTGATGGAGATGCTATACAGCAACTGGCTTCTCTTTTCTTTGCTGTTCTGAATGGTACAGTAGGCATCATTTGAGGAAACAGAATGCTGCACTTGTCTGAACAAAACTGATTTAAATGTAAAATGTCTAGTTTTATACACTCATTGTTGACTTTGATAGAATTTGTCAAGTCAATCCTTATGCAAGTTAAGATGCAGGCAAACGTCCAGTGTGGCAAAGAAAAAGATTGTCATACAGCAATATGAAATCAGAGATGTACTGTGGTACTCATAGCAAAAACTGAAGGACTTCTTGTTTTGTTTGGTCAAAGTCATCATTACCATCAGCCTGTCTGTCAACGAATAGTTGCTTTCCAGACCAGGGTTCTTCAGCCATCTCTATCAGCAGTCCTGGAAGAATAAACCTAGTGTTTACATTTAGACTTTATATTTTAATGATCACAAACTATCTGCACTATGAACTTTTGCATTTGTGCAAGGAATGACACCTTATTTATTTAGTGAAATATAAAGATATTACTAGTTTGCAATATATGCATAGTGTAACATTGTTCTGTGATATGCTAAAGAAATTTGTACTCGTAAGATATAGTTTTTAAAAAACTTTTAATTGAATTGATTTGTATGACGTCAGGTTCGGAGGGTAAACTGACCATTGTTACACAACGTATGAGCATGCTGTCAGGTATTGGCAATCTCAGTTACAATGGAGTCATGGGAAATAGCTCAGTCCAGTCATTGGCTTCCACTGTAATAGAGCAGTTCATTGGTCCCTTGCAACAAGAAGGTAAGTCACTCTGTTCTGGCTTTTCCAATGAGGCGTTTGTGGTCATTGAATGATTGTTTCCACTTTAATTTGATAGTCTTGTCACAGACTTGTACTGGTAGTTGCAGCCTCTAAGAATGTTCAGAAGTTTTAAGACATTTAAAAGCTAGCACAGAAGTCAACATTAGAGGGCACTTACTGAAGCTTGTTAGTTCAGTTTTTCAGAAAGGCACTTTCCTGAATAAGCTGTACACGTTCATCTCCTAAAGTAAATACATGCTTAATTGTAACACTGAAAAGCCCCACCCAGAATTTACATAAATAAAATATAAAACATATATTATGCATGTGCATAGTTCTCTGAAAGTCAAGAAGTGCTGTTTGTGACTTCAGTTTGTAAGAGCACACTCTATTCACAGCTGTAAGCATTCACCTATGTGGAATTAGTCAGGAATATTCTGTACAGATTATGAAGTTCGCTAGTAATTCTTGAGAAATACATGTATTTCCCACAGGATAATACTTATGTCTGTTTTGTAGATTGATACGTAGAAGAAAAGGGTAACAAATGATTTTTGTACACATACGTAAATTAAAAAAATTGATATCCAATAGAAGGCAAACTTAATGTAAACCCAGATGTGAAATATACACAGACTTGTTTTACTTTTTTATTTCTGCTCATCTAGCGGAGCATTTAGGGCCAATTATAGGGTGAAGTGGCAATGAATAAGACAATGAAGAAATGTTCAGTGTCAGAGGTTGGAGAAACCCCGACTAAATATTCTAGGAAAAAACTGACTGACACAGTCATAACTTTAAAGCAAAGGTTCACAAGCAAGTTCTAATTGCTAAAAGCATTTCATGAATGTGCTTTTGACCACATTAACTGAGTGCGTACCATGTGTTCAACCAGCTAATTTTGCCTTGACACTCACAGTTCATGAGGCTACCTTGGTTCATACCCTGTCCATGATGTCTTTATGGTGTGCCAAGTTCACCAGTAAGGTACCCCAGAAGCTCATTGATTGGTTCCAGAAAGGCATGGCTCTCAAGCAGTCTTCGTCAGCTGTTAGGAATGGATATATCCAGTGCATGCTGGCAGCTTTCAAAGGTTTGTGGCACAATGGTAAACAAGTTAATTAAAAGTTGTTCATAAAGCATTGCTCTTTTAACCTATGTTTTCTTGTTAGGGCAACCCAACTCTATCCCAATCCCCACTGCACATAGGAGCACTCTTTGTTCTGAAAGTAAAACTGGGACACAAACCTCTTGCAAAGTAAGAATAGCTAGGCTATGTAGTCATGAGTCTGTTTAATATAGATTTTTCCAGGTCAAATATCCACTATTAGGTGGAATATCAAATTAGGTATTTCAAATGTCATTAGGCCAACCAAAAAGTATGTTAGGTAGCTATTGTGTGGAAGACTCTAGAAGTTATGCACAGTATGCCATACCAGTAGATTCCCAACGTTGACAAGCAACGACTTTATGATGCCTATATAACATTTCATTTAAAAAAAATTTTGGAATTATTTTTGAAATGGACAGTAATTACCTCATCTGGAAGGCATTTCAAAGACTAATGTAAAGAAAAGAAATAGGCCTTTAATAGCAATTAGTTTTAAAAATATCTACCATGATTTTCAGGTGAAAGTATCATCTCAAATCATGATCATTTCAAACATCCACTCTTTTGAAATCACTATGTAACGTTTGATTTCCCTTTTTTTTTACTGTGTGGATATTTGACCCACCCAGTGGACATTGATCCTATTTGTGTATTGTGATACCTAGTGGACATCTGAATGACCTATTTGGACTCCACATCATATTCTTGACATATGATCTGTCTACGTTGATTACTGTACAAGTGTGAATATTTTGACCTAAAAAACCTATATAAAGTAGGACCCAGGTGTTGGTTTTGAGGGATTAGATAGTAAAGGTTTTACATCCCAAATAGTTCAGAAACATTGAGAGATTCTAAAAGTTATTCAATTTTTGTCATTCAGCAATTAGTCTTCCAAATGTGACCTCTTAAGGCAAAACGAGGAACGTTCCCCAAAACCTTAATCTGAGTAATTAGCGTTCAAAGTCAGACATACGTAAAAAATCGGTTCAAAATCGAATTTCAGTTTTTCACATTTTTGAGTAGCTTAACTATCGAAGATTTCCCCTAGCTGTGTCAAATGTGTCGGAAAGAACAAAAAAGGCGTATAAAATGAGGATTTCTGAAGTGATTCTGAGTCGGTATTGATTAAACAATCATCGTGATTACCTTTCATACACCGAAATTGGCCAATATTCCACAATGCTTTTCGTACATTATGCTCCATGTGTATGTGCCAAGTCTGGTACTGTTGGAAAAAGCAGAGCCTTGTCTCTCTATTTATAGCACTGACCTCACAGTTGAAAGGTCAACCAGCCTGCACCAAGCGTAAAACTGAAGTAAAAAAATTGGTCTTCCTTCCTCTGAGAAACTGTGTCTCATTCGTTGAGGCCGGCTACGTCATCAAAATAATAGTCATCTGATTGGACAACAGAAAGCGCACGGTTGAAACTTCACTTGGATACGTGGCATAAATAAATGTATACAGAAAGGTGCTTTCTGATTGGGCCCCTTTTATGCAAATTTGTTGATGTACATTGAATCGTTTTATGCAAATAGTTGACGTATGTTTTGCTTGGCCAATGAGCATGTATATGGAACGCGTCGTAAATCTAATGCTGTACGTGTGTACAAGTACATGCATGAACTGTACATGTGTACAGTGTACAGCGTATATGGTGCACTGTGCTAGCGACGTGTGCTGTGTGTGGCAGCAGGACAAGCAGTTGCAACACATAAAAGGCTTGCATTTCAAATCGCCATAGCAATGGCATAGTTCCCTAGAACCAACGGCTCTGAAATCACCAGGTAGGAAATATTTGGCCCCGAATATCATTTCCTGAAAGTTTGAAACCTACATCTTTCTTAACTGAAGAAAATTTTAGGGCAATAATGTTTACTTGAGCATTCAAAGAAAATCCAAGTCTCGTGTTCCATCAAGTGTTTCGTCGTAAAATTCACAATTCGATTTCTCATTATTTTCGAAAGATACTGGTATCAAACTTTCAGGATATCACATTTAACTCATGATTTCATCTGAGCTAAAAAATTATTGTCCCCAGGTGACCACAAATGTGCCATGAGAATTGATAGTACACATACTTTTAAACAGCCCGTGCAATGTACATTGTAGACAATTGGTGGCATGGTCTGTTACCCTTTTTTCGAAGGCGGTTTTCTCGAAAACTAAATTCGGCTCTCCTGATGACTCACGTTGTCTTTCTTGCTTCATATTTTCTGACACGAGTGGCACAGGGAAATAAATTTGGTATCATTGTAAAGCTTAATAAATGCTCTTCATTTACCTGCCTATATCTAAAAAATTGGATTTGGAGATCAATCCTCAAAATGCCACGATAGGTCACAAATATGTATTAAGTGAACATGAAGTGTCTTGATGGTAACAGTGATCGGCTTTGACATATAGGGCAGGATTGATGCAATTACCCGTTTGAAATAAAAGAGGCTGCATAATCCAGAAATTAAAGAAGTAACCAAAAGAGTGTTGCTCTCCTCCATTAATCCTGTTGCAGCAGGTTACAAGACCAATTTCTTGAATCGATTGGTGAAATTACAGCATGTCCTATTTGAAAAATTTCACAGACATGGGCTGCTGTGAAACACACTGCTGATTTCAGAAAGCTCAGTATGTGCTTATGATATGGAATGAATCCTAAAATGACATTGCTAGGTAGAAAGTATTGTGCATGCACACAGTCAAGTATTTGGGTCACAGAATAGGGCTACCCCAGACATCCAGCTTCCAACTGTTAATTTCTGTATTCTGAAATCAACATGTGAATCACAAAATCCATGTTTCTTGTTCAGCTGGTTTCTTCCCTTAGATTTCTCTCTCCCTGACTTTTTGTGATTGAGGCATGATTATGAAATATTTCCAGCTATAACATCACTTCAACTTAGTGCCAGTGTTAGCAATTTTGCTGAACACAATTCAGTGCAATCTTCAACTACAGTGTAAAAGACAGATTAAAATCCATCCTACATGTACATTCCCCCTAGATAAGCTTCATTGAACAGCAAATGAAGGAATAGTTTGTTGGCTCTTCTTGGTGCCTAGGTGACACTGTGCTTGAGGGGCTTGGACTCCTACCCTTGCTCAAGCAATCCTTGGAGCGTGCTCAGACACAGTCTAACCTTGTGAACATAGTAACAGAAGGGCTTTCAGCTGCTAATCTCATGGTATCCATGTACAGTGCAGATACTGAAGCAGGTAATTATGTAGATAAGCATAAGCACTACAAGTGATTTAGCAGTATAAATACATCATTGACACAATTATTGTAATTGCTAAAACTTACAGTCTTATGGTTACTGTTTCAAACTTATATAACAGGTTTTGCCCTTACCCAACGTATATAGTAATGCTGTATGCTCAAGTGCTTGACCGAGAGCTTGCGAAAAAAGTCATAAGCTTACTCGGGTGGGACTCGAACCCACGACCTCCTGCTTACTAGTGCAGACGTCGAGTGGTTAAGACCCCAACGCAAAAAAATACATCTTGAAAATGTTTCAAACTTGTTTGAAAATTACCTTCCTGCTCTCGTTTATTTGCTGAGAGTAGTAATTTGCCTGCAGAGAAGGGTTTTCTGTCAAAATGTCATACTGTATGATGCAAATATATTGTACTGATTTCAAACTAATTTTTCTTGAGGGGGAAAATTTGTAAGCTTTTAAAACTATGGCTTATGAAATCATAAAGCTTCTCAGCAAGGGGTCTTATTTTGAGGGTTGATTCACACTTGGTACAAACACAAATGGAAATTGTGATGTTAGGTAAATGTGTTTGTGCTATGAATTGAAAATAGTAAATTTCAATTCAAACAAATTTTGCTGCTTTTGTCTTATGACGTCAGATTTGCTTCACTGTTGCATCCATGCAGTATGAGCCAGCCTGAAAAAAGTCAATAGTGGATTCTGGACAAGCTTGACCAATAGTTTTGACCTAGGGTTCCATATCAACCACCCAAGAAGTTTTCTTGTAACAGTTGAAAAGTTTATTTGTAGCTTACATGGCAGAAATGGCCCTGAAGTAATCGTGAACTTTGATGCAGTGGTCAGGAATCTTTAGGAAATCCCTTGACATCTTGTGTTTTGTTGCTTCAGAGTCCAAGCTGGCCTGGGTGTTTGGGGTAGTGTCTGATCCTGAAAAACAACTCTTTGTATCAGAGAAATTTCTCTCCTCGGCATCAGAGGAAGGTAGGTTATTGTATACTGAAAGATCCTCCAATATGAATTGGTTAATAACGATACTGCTTGCACATGTCAAAGGGCCAAATTGTATTGATAATTCCCCAAACCATAAACTGTGGTGACTGTGCGACTTCAGTACAGAGTGTCATTCAGGAATTATGCACCTGGAGAAATTTTAAATGGGCTCTGTAGATATCTATTTGAGAAGATTGTGTTAACGCAAACAGTGTCCTATTTCACATTCAGCATCTTCAATTGAGATCATCATTGGTTTACAGTTGCCTTGTGAACATTATTCATCCTTAAATTAGAGATAGACATGGCAATTATATTTTGATTTATAATTATAGTTCCAGATTTGTAGTTTAAAAATGTATCTTTGCTCTAAAGTGTTCAAATTACAGCATAGTCAGAATACATGTGTAGTTGTGGTTGTAGAATTTTGGCATTTATGACTGGATTTTATCCAACTAAGACAAAAGTTGTAACTTTCATGTGATATTTGGTTTGCTACCAGCCTTGCAGACATTACTTCATCTCACTGAGAAACTGCTGATAGACCATGCAGACAAACTGAAATCAGGAAGTGAAAGGTAAGAGAAAAAATGTTCTTACATGAAGTCATTGCAGCTGGCAAGATTCTATTGTTTGCAAGTTATCTTGGAATTTTGCATTGTCAGCAGTAAATGGAATGTGTCCTTTATTTAATTTGTTCAATTGAAGTATGAAATTTCTAGAAGTGTATAGTCCAGTAATTCAAGTCCCTTTGAAATCAGTGTAAAATCGTCACTGTTCAGGGCCCGATATCATGCGTACCAACATCCCTGAGGTATCTGAAACACACGTTAAATTATTGTATGGTCCCTAATCTTTCAATTTTTTTTTTCAATTTTCTGTGGGTTAACCGATTACATTTTGAGTTATCCCCTCAAAACAAAATTACCCCCCCAAAATGATTTTTCCGAAGTCTGCTTGCAGCCATTTTTCATGTTTTAACCCTCAACTTTCTTGGGCATTTGGCACCATTTTTCAATCGTATTTTGTAGCCATTCTGCTCTCAGATGAAAGCCCAAAGACCCAGGGAGTTGATCCTGGCAAAGACTTACACAATCTTACCATCTGGGGGGCTATGCAATCTCCTTTTTCAAAAGATACTGGGGGGGGTGCACTTTTAATGCTAATGAGCTGGCCAGAAATTCTCACTTGAATTAGTGGACTGCACCCAGGAAAGAATAGTAGCTTCTGTTAGAAAATCACAAATTTTGTTGTGGATCATATATAGCGGCTACCAAAAACTGATAGGTACTTGTAGTCATGGCTTTTGATACCAGTACCTCCTTGTAAGGCATGGATTATGCAAGTTGGATTGAGCAAGCTATTTGACGGAGAACATGTTCTTGTATCATATTCTCATTTTCGGGGCTTGTCAACCAATAGTCTACATATTCTGCATTAACTTACTAGCGTATTGATTTTGACACATTAAATCATTATTCCTGAAAACATACAAGCATGTGGTCTTTGGTCTTCATAACCATTCTTTGTTGCACCACGTGCATAATCATCTGCCAACTAGAGGAGATATCTTACCATTCGGACACTGAGCTTGCCAGAAGTAACTGGATGGTGTCCGTATAGCAGTAAGGCCATGTATTTCATGTCCAGTGACTCCGGGTCAGTGTTGTATCCGAGACCTTGATGTCCAAGACCGAGACCAAGGCATACGAGACCAAGACCGAGACTTACTCCTTCAAGACCAGGACTTCGAGACCGAGACTTTTGCAGGTTGAGACCTAGACCAACCATAAACCAATGTTTAGATTTTACCAAGGTAGGGACAAACATATGGCAGTACAATTAAGTATAAAAGAAATAAAATGAAAACATTAGCATAAACACACACATCAACTGGTCAAATATTTGTTAAAGAATGTCTCAGTTCTTTTATCAGTGATACTGCTCTACTTTTACCCTGGTCTGGTAATTTTCAACCCGAGTGTCCCAAAAGATATGATACGAACTTTAAAACAAATATCCTTAATGTTACCGAGTGGTTAAATTTTACCGAAGAGAGGGGTGGTGATGCAGAGTAAAGAAATTTCAAAAACTACCAATTTACGAAAATAGACTGCTGATTTAATTAAAATTGAAAATTAGAACAATTACATGTACATTGAATTATTAATTGAGATTAATCCAAGTTACGTTAACCCCGTTTAATGTTGGTGCAGTCAAAGGACGGTCAAATCCAATTTGGCCCAACCTGGCATATATTTCTGTTGGCTGGCCACCATGCACAAACTACCCAACCCTAACCACCTGACTGGCCAAGATTTATCAAACAGAAAGTAGGCCAGTGGGAAGGCACCATAAAAATCATACAAATGGGTGGTTAAACACTGAAGGTTTAAACCAGACACTTGACAGGCAAAAATGACTGCTCAAAATATTGTACCAGATGACATTTGCATAGGAGGGTTAAGCAAAAAAAGACCTTAAGAAACCCCCAAAACACCCACAAAAATAAATGAGTCAATATGATGATAAACCATCTGTAAGTTAAAATGAAAATACATTTGTATAAGTGAACCAGCACCATATATATTAGAAGTACATGTACAGTTATATGCATATACTGGATTCATTTACATTTTAGGCATAAAATATGCAGCCCTGCCACAGCATATGTTTTGAATTTATGGTTTACATTTCTTTTTTTTTATCAACATGCACCAATCAATTTGATAAGGAATTCAATGTTTCACAACCACCAGTAATATTGTTGAGAATACAAACTACCAAAATTAACTTACTCAAGATGTTATGGAAGGGCTACATGTACATCAAATACCAGGTGGTGTAGGATGACCTACACATGTACATGTACGATAGTGCTAGGTCCATAGGAGGACTAGGTCGGTCACTGTAAATCAGAATTAAACATTATAAGTTAAGGATGTTGACTAAATATGATCAACCACTCATTTTTATTGAGATGTACAATGTTCAAAAATATTGATATCTCTGAACAATATGCAAAGATGCTTGCAAGAAACTACCTCAAGCAAATTAGAGTTCAACAGGACATAGTTCCATAATGTGCCTACAAAAGCGCAAAATGCAGATCTAAATGTATACAATGTATAATCAAACAGTTATTAAAGGAAAATTATAAAGTGCTCACTCACTATGTGTCCACTTTCACCATACCATACTGCTGAGTTTCAAACTCAAATTTTACAATATTGGGACTACACCCGAACTAGGCTAGCGCACAACATAAGTTAGGAGCACTATCAATATCAATGTGTGAACTTCACACGGAGATGTGTATTCCACACTAATGCAATGCAGTGTGCAGCAAAGACTAAAATACTAAAAATACTAAAAAACAAATATTCAAAAAAGATGCACCGTAATGAAACTACTACAACAGCACTTACCACATACAAGACGGAAGGAAATCACTTTCACACTTGCACACAATTCATAGCTTGCGCACACACACACAGACTAGTTCCCGTCCTGGCCTTACGTTCAGCTGGAGACTACGTAGCGAACGGGAACCAGTGTAGTGTGCGAATTCCGCTACTCACAACCTCATCTCCAGGGTGTCAAGCAGCATGGCTACTCTAGATTGAAAATAAAGTAACAACTTGGAACAAGGTTGCATCATGCTGCATTGACTAGTCTTCATTCCAGCATCGATTTCATTGTTTTTTGTAAAACATCTGAACATTACTCTGTTGTATTTATATCAGTAGTTGAAGATTTGACTCAAGCGGAGGTAATTTTGCCTTTTGCAACCACGTGCATGCGTGGTAGGTAGATGCGCATTTCGTTATGGTCTTGACTGGTCTCGAGGGGGAGACCTGAGACTATGGCATCCAAGACCAAGACCGAGACCAGCGCTTTCGAGACCAAGACCGGCCCTCCCAAGACCAGGACTTTGACAGGGCGAGACCAAGACCAAAAAAAGTCTCAAGACAGTCTCGAGACTGAGACCAGGTCTTGAGATCTGCAGCACTGCTTCGGATAGAATTTGGCATCAGCCTACAAAAGTTGACATCACCTTGACCTAGTATTCAAGACATTGTTATATCTAATACTCTTAAGTATTCCTCTTGTCCTCAAGGTTGTACCACCAAGCTGTGGTTACCACCCTCCTATACCCATCTTGGACGCTGAGAAAAAGTGGCCAGCTTGTTGCCAAGAAGTTAGTCATGAGTGGCAGTGGTCTATCTGTGGCTAGGTCATTGCTTCAGGAACTGCGGGCGGCAATGGTAACACAAAAGGTAGAAATGTATTCACATTTGATAAATGAAAAGTTGAAGACACATGAATGCTGTTTGTTTGTTGGGGTGTTTGTTTGTTTGTTGGTTGTTTGTCGGGGTGTTGGGTTGAAATTGTATTGTCATTAACCA